ACATACATACCAAATGCAGCTCACGGGTGTAGTGTCTGGGACTACACTCTTAATTAACAAAATCTCTGCTGGTGTCATCTGTCTTACTGATGTCAGTCATGTGATCAGTTTCATCATTACAATTTACATGAATCTCATGAAATCACAGGGCGTGCTATTTCTGATTAATTTTAAATCGATACTCAGATTGGGCTCTGCAGATTTAATAGATACACAGGTAATGAGACGCTAGGTTATTCTAATAGATATACGGTTAGTGAAGTTTGAGCTAATTTTAATACATACAGAGATAGTGGAGCTCCAAGCAATTTTAATGGATTTACAGAAAGTAAAGCTCTAGGTCATTTTAATAGATACAGGTAGTGGAACTCAAGATGATTTTAAAATATACAAAGACAGTGGAGCTCTCACTAGCCTTTAATAGATGTACAGAGAATGAAACTGTAGGGAACTTTATTAGATATAGAGAGAATGAAGGTCTCAGAAATTTTATTAGATATATAGGTAACGAAGCTTTAGGTATTTTTAATAGCTACACAGATAGTGGAGCTTGAGGTAAGTTTAATGGATACACAGATTGTAAAGCTCTAGGTAACTTTAATAGGTATAGAGAAAATGGTCCTCTAAGTAATTCCAGTAGATACAGAGATATTGGAGCTGTAGATAATTTTATTACATTCACAGATACTAATGCTCTAGGTAATTCTAGTAGCTGTTCAGGTAATGAAGCTGTAAGTAATTGTAATAATTATTCAAATAGTGGAACTCTGGGCAATATGAATAGTTATTCAGATAATGAACCTGTAGGTTAACTTTAATAGATATAGAGAAAATGGTCCTCTAAATAATTTCAGTAGATACAGAGACATTGGAGCTGTAGTTAATTTTAATACATACACAGATACTAAAGCTCTAGGTAATTCTAGTAGATACATGGAGAATGAAGCTCTGGATATTTTAATAAATTTACAAAGGGAGGAGCCCTAGAGTCATAGCACAGAAACAGACCCTTTGGTTCAAACCATCCTCGCTGACCATAATCCCAAAATGAACTAGTCCCACCTGCCTACGTGTGGCCCATAACCCTCCAAACCTTTCCTATTCATGATAAAAACCAAAAGAACTGAGGATGCTGTAAATCAGGAGCAAAAGCAAAGTTGCTGGAAAAGCTCAGCAGGTCCAGCAGCATTTGTGAAGGAAAAATCAGAGTTAACATTTTGGGTCTGGTGACCTTAAGGATCACCAGACCTGAAACGTTAACTGTTTTTCCTTTACAGATGCTGCCAGGCCTAATGAGCTTTTTCCAGCAACTTTGTTTTTGTTCCTTTCCTATTCATGTCCTTATCTAAATGCCTTTTAAACATTTTAACTTGTACCTGCATCCACCACTTCCTCTGGAAATTCACTCTACGCACGAACCACTCTGTAAAAGAAAAAGTTGCCCCTCGTCTTTTTAAAATCTTTCTCCTGGGTTTATTTACAGGGGGCTCTGTGTTTTAGGGTTTATTTACAGGGGGCTCTGTGTTTTAGGGTTTATTTACAAGGTGCTCTGTGTTTTAGTGTTTATTTACAGGGGGCTCAGTGTTTTAGGGTGTATTTACAGGGTGCTGTGTGTTTTAAGGTTTAGTGACAGGGGGCTCTGTGTTTTAGGGTTTATTTACAAGGGTCTCTGTGTTTTAGGATTTATTTCCAGGGGGCACTGTGTTTTCGGGTTTATTTACAGTAGGCTATGTGTTTTTGGATTTTTTTACAGGAGGCTCTGGGTTTTAATGTTCATTTACAGAGGCCTCTGTGTTTTAGGTTTTATTTGCAGTAGTCGCTGTATTTTCGGGTTTATTTACAGAGGGCTCTGTGTTTTAGGATTTATTTACAGGAACTCAATGACTTTTTCTCCACACCCCTCTGTAGCAATGAATTCCACAGATTCACCCCTCTCTGGCTGAAGACGTTCCTCCTCATCTCAGTTCTAAAGGGTCATCCCTTCACTCTGAGGCTGTGCCCTTGGGTCCTAGGTGCTCTACTAGCAGAAGCATCTTTTCCACATCCACTCTACCCTGATCTGTAGGTATCCTGTAAGTTTCAACCAGATTCCCCCTCATCCTTCTAAACTCCATTGAGTACAGACCCAAAGTCCTCAACCGCTTCTCATATGATCAGCCTTTCGTCCCTGGGATCATTCTTGTAAACCTCCTGTGGACTCTCTCCAATGGCAGCACATCCTTCCTTAGATAAAGGGCCCAAAGTTGCTCACAATATTCCAAATGCAGTCTGACCGAAGTCTTATACAGCCTCAGCAGTACATCCCTGCTCTTGTATTTTAGCCCTCCTGAAATGAATACAAACATTTCTAACTGCCAACTGAACCTGCATGTTAACCTTGAGAATCCTGAACTAGAACTCCCAAGTCCCTTTGAGTTTCTGAAGCCTTTCCCTGTTTAGAAAATAATCCATGCCTCTATTCTTCTTAACATGTTCCTCTTCTTTGCCCACTCTCCTAGCCTGCCCAGGTCCTTCTGCGGCTTCCCGGCTTCCTCAACGCTATCTTTCTTTCCAATTATCTTTGTATAATCTGAAAACTTAGCAGCAATGCCCTCAGTTCCTTCAACCAGATCATTAATGTACAACATGAATAGTTATGGGCCCAGCATGGAACCCTGCAGAACTCCACTACTCACCAGCTGCCATCCTGAAAAAGACCCCTTTATCCCTTTTGGCAGCATTCTCCAACCATGCCAGTATCTTGCCCACAACACTATGGGCTCTTAAACAAAAACAGAAATTGCTGGAAAAGCTCAGCAGGTCTGGCAGCATCTGTGAAGAGAAATCAGAATTAACGTTTCGGGTCCAGTGATCCTTCCTCAGAACCTGACTCAGACCTGAAATATTAACTCTGATTTCTCTTCACAGATGCTGCCAGACCTGCTGAGCTTTTCCTGCAATTTCCGCCTTTGATCCTTCAGAGACTCTGCAGTGAAATTTCTGGGCTATTCTGAAACAGACAGGAGAGTGACAGTGATTGGAGAACTGGCCATACTGAAATAGAAAACTGAAGGATGGGATGGTGAACTGGGGGGCAGTGACAGGACTCCTCTGTTGACCTGAAGTATTTTGGCATTTTGGTTAATAGTGAGAGAGGGAATACAGTGAAAGGAAGCAGAGCGGATTGAAAGAGGATAATACAAGCCTGGTCGGGGTTAATCTGATTTCTAAGAAAGGAGACAAGGAGAAACATGTGGAGAAACATGATTGATGAATGAATCACTGAGAGGTAACATGGCAACCAATTATCCCCAGAAGACAGCAGAGAGATAGAAAGAAATGTTAACTCAGAGGACACTTTTCTGGCAAGGAATCACAGAGTCGTTCTAATGAAACCTTTTATTTAACAAAAAAAACCCGGTGTTAAGAATACAGGACTGAACCCAGACTCTGTAAGACAGTCTTCAGATCCCTTGAGGCAACCTTCTTCTCCCAGAAATATCTTTTCCCTCCCTGTACCAGGTCATCGGTAGCTACTGGGGGGACAGAAGTTTCCAAATGATTCATTTCCAAAAGACAATCAGCGATTTAAGCCAAGCCTGCCTTTAAAGTGCATTTTAAATCAAAACAATTGTGTTCATTTGAAATGGTGGAAAACGCTGTAACTGAAGAATCAGACAAAGCATTTTTATCGCGTCTATTAAATAAGGAAATTTCATCTCTTCAATAGTTCTGTTCTACTCAGGCTTACATATTGTTCTGGGTTAGTTACTGTGTCCTACCATGTAGTGACTTGATTCATTCGCCATCGATATATTTTCAAGGCTGTTTTCAGGTTCTCAATGTTTTTGTCAGCTCCTCGAGTTTCTATCTATCACCCGGGGGGTACCAATGTGTGTTATATTCACTGGCAAGAAAATGCACTGTGATCTTGTTGCACAGACCCTTTGGTGTTCCTTTATATAAACTCGTTGCTCATTTTTGCAAATTGTTCCAATAATTCTGGCATGAGTAATCGACAGGAAATGTGTTGTAATTAATATTTGTGGAGTTAGGCTAGAAGAGAGAAAACAAAAATTAGAAGCCATTACTTGCTGAAATTGGTGAGTCATGGAGCAGTCAGAAAATAATTAATTAACCTTTGTCTTTTTACTCTAATTATTTCCTTCAATAAATATCTTGCTTTGCTTTTCCTAGATTTGAAAGCTGTGTATAAACTAATGAATAGTGTCATCTGAAAAGCTTGTTAGCTGTGAACTTAATTAAATACCAACTGTTGTGTTGGCAGAAGCTGAACATTTTTAAAATAAACCTAAAGAAACTGGAACAATAAATTTGGGAAGAAGAAGCATTTCAAAACGGCCATGTCTTACTGAAAGCAGACTTGCATTTATTTTGTGTCGTTCAGATCCTTTGGATGACCCAATGCAATTCACAGCCATTGAAACATTTTTGACATGTCCTTCCTGCATTTTAATTCACTCATGTGATATGGGTATTACTGGCTGGGTCAGCATTTATTGTCTGTCCCTAGTTGCCCCTTGAGATTGAACAACGCTTCTTATCACTCAGCAATATTCTAGATCGAGACATTTCCTGGTTTTCTGATGCTTAGGCACCTGCTGAGCCTTGTGAACTATTTAATGTGCTCACACAGAGATAGCAGAACAGGGAAATAACATTTCAGAGCCTTACATTTAAGGAATGATTTTGTGGTCTGGAATTCCTGAAATGGATTGACAGCTGTAGGGAATGAATCATGGCAGAAATGGGAATTTGTGGGTGAGGGGGAGGGTTATATACCAGGTATTATCATTTTACATCAATGTCCACTCTCCAACGCTCAAACTGAGTGGAACAGTTTCATTTTATGTGGTACTTCTCTCTGTTCCTTGTGTTGGTTCGTGTCCACTGACAATTCTTGAGTCTTTGGTATAACATTTTTTTTTGTTGTGGCATGATGACTTGTTTAAGTTTGTGTCAAGTTTTTCTGTTTCAATCAAATTTCTCTCTTTCCACAGCTTTATTCAACCTCATACCAGTGGGGCTTCGGGTTGTTGCCATTCAGGGTGTGAAAACAGGACTGTACTTGGCAATGAACAATGAAGGTTACCTTTACACATCAGTAAGTACTGAACCCAAACCGTGAAACACAGTGGCTGTGGTGTTGGACTTGTAAACTCATCCTGGGAGAATAATCTTCGATGTCCTTGCTGGTTATGGGGGCATGTTCTGATATTCAGAGACGTCTGGTTTATATGGTTTATTCCTGATAAATTGGTGCTCCAACCATCAAAACACAGTTTATTTGTCAAAATGTTAAAACAATGCCATTGGTTTGCTGTTGCTTTGTGACTCATTTCCAACATGATAACATCTTCCCAGTGTCACGTTGTGCCAGAGTTGGCTCAGTCCCTCTCCCTTACCTTTAACACTTCAAGGGTTTACCAATTGATGAGACATCTAGTGTTGCTGGATCCTGCTTAATGATGGCACTGTGAGAGGACAGGGACAGCGGTCAAAACATCCTGAAACCACACAACGAATGAAGTTATACCCTAGAATGCCTTCATCAACAATGACAGAAATGATCTTTTGACCAATTCTGTACCCACTATGGAATGGACTCTACAATCTCGTGGATCTCATTTTGACTGTAAATGATCATGTTAATGCCACTTGCTCTTTGTTATTCTAACTCACTGGGGTAATATACTGGAAATCGGGCCCCACTATTCCCAGAATCATCATTAAAGTTAAGAATTTTATGAAGTACATACAGCCCCCCAGTTGCTCTGATTTTCAGATCCAGGTTAATAGAAAACTTGGACCAGGTTTCTATAATGAACATGAAGTATTCGCTTTTACAGGTCTTTAGTCTCTTGCTACAAGTAAACACTAATAAACCTTTGACATGTAATTCAAATAAAACTCTAATTCCATTCTCAACTCCCCCTTACACATGCACACAGACAAACAGACAGATGTAATAACTTATAGACAGTGGGGGAAATCTGCAAAGACTGTTCCATAGTGTTTGTTTTCACATTGTATTGTTGAGATGATCTTTATGACTCATCTGCTGGCAGCACGTTGTTTCAGTCATCTTTCTCTGGATGCTTCTACTGGTTGATAAGAGACACAAGGTGGCTGGTTCATTCATAAAAAGTCTCTGACTGACCATTAAAAGTCTCAGTAGACAACAACTGTTGAAGGAGAGATAAACTGAGTTTTGACTATAGAGAACAGAGACTGCTTCTGAACTGGAGAAGGGCTGAACGCCTCCCTCTCACAACTTGTCCTCAGCTGCTTAGTTACCTGAGAACCAATCACACAGTTTATAGAATCCCAACAGTGTGGAAACAGACCACTCAGCCCAACAAATCCACACCAACCCTCTGAAGAGCATCCCACCCAGACCCATCCCCCTGTAATTCTGCATTTCCCATGGCTAATACACCTAATTTACACACCCCTTGGACACTATGGGCAATTTAGCATGGCCAATCCACCTAACCTGCATCTTTGGATTATGGTAGGAAACTGAAGCACCCGGCAGAAACACACGCAGACACGGGGAGAACATGCAAACTGCACACAGACAGTTGCCGAGGGTGGGATTGAACCTGGGTCCCTGGCGCTGTGGGGCACCAATGCTAACCACATGACACCCAGGTTCTGTCATTGATGGCTGGTTACTAGTCTATAGAACAATCAACTGCTTGTTGCCAGCAAAAGCTACACCTATACACTCCCTCAGCTCCGAACCCAACTGCAACCCAAACTTCAATTACTGCGCGTTAACACATTTGTGTACAATCATCACTGTGAGTGTCAGGTTACTTCAAAGTTTACAGCTGCCCTTTCAAATGTTTCAAAATGGTTCTTTTTCATTTCAGTCCCCAGTTTTTAAAACACGCAAAAATGAAAGACACAGTTCTTACAGATTTTAAGAAATTCCAAATAATTTGGTCAACAGAAACTAACAGACATAGATTTTCTTTGTGCAGAGAGTTTATCGACTGTACCAGTCACCAGTCACAGGTGTTTCGTCTTTTGAAGTAACACAGGGGAAGGCATTAGCCTAGTGGTATAGTTGCCAGACTGTTAATCCAGACCCAGGTAATGTTCTGTGATCCTGGATTTGAATCCCGCCACAGTGGAATTTGAATTCTATCTACAATCTGGAAATGAATTTAATGGTGACCATGAACCAATGTTGAGGGGGGAAATTTAGAAAAAAATCTGGTTTGCTAATCCCCTTTAAGGGAAGGAAATCTGCCATCCTTACCTAGTCTGGCCTCCACGTGACTCCAGCCCAGAGCAATGTCGGTGACTCATAAGCACCCTCTGGGCAGTTAGGGATGGACAATAAATACTGGCCCAGCTAGTGATGCCCACATTCCATATATGAATTTTAAAAAAGCCAAAGTTAACCAAATCAAAGATTAACAGCCTATTATAGAAACACTGTAACAAAAAAAAAATCAGATTTTCAAAGCAATTTGGGCAGAGATAATAGATTTCAACACCCTCCTGCCCAACCTGGTGCCCCCTGTTTATGGATGATCTCAAGCATGTTAGTGAACATCATGAAAGTTGCAGTTGTACCCATGAGGAGGGGGCAGGTGGTTTGGCCCCAAGAATTCCCTCCAGACTGCCAACTTGATTGGGACATCCATGGTGAGGCCTGGGGATGGTCAGGGTCCTCCAATCTTCCTAGCCCAGTTCCTCTGGGAGAGCCACGATCAAGAGAATGGGACTGCGGGTGCAATCAGATATCCAAGATCAGCTCCCAGAACATCGGAAGGGTTGAGGGGGGGAGGCGATTGCCTTTTGTCCAAGCCAATGGAACACCGACTCCTTGAGATCACAGAAACACAGGCAATCTGAGAGGCTGTGAGCAACTGCTCCTCCTTTAGATATTTTCTTATCTCATGTAAAGTGATAACACACCTTTGGGGAAGGTTGGACATGAACCCAGGCCTCCTGGGCTCAGAGGTAGGAACACTGACACTGCCCTACAAGGACCCTTTGTCTGCCCACCATTTATATTTTCAGAGTGCCTATTCTAAACCCACCGCCAGCTTACCCAAACAATCAAAGTAACAAGCACGCTGCACCATTGCCTGTTTCTCTTCTGATTTTAATTAACCTGAACTACATGTTATATTAACAGTAAGTAAACACCTACCCCTGAACAGGGAGGCCAGGGTCCAAGTCTCACCTGCTCCAGAGGTGTCTAATAATATCTCTGAACAGGTTGATTAGAAAAATCAATTAGTAAAAAAAAATGGGCAAACAGAATCTGTTGACCACTGAACCAAACAGGTTGGTGTGTATCCAGGCAGTGGACTATACAGGGGCATCTCTGTCAACTGTCTACCCTTATTCCACAATTACATTCATGCCCGGGTGTCCTTGGAGACACAACACGCAGTGTCTACCAATGCTCTCAATGCCTTTAGAGGGAAGTGGGCACCACGGGGAATTTGGTGCTTTATCTCCTCCTCCAACTCCATTTTGACTTAGCCCCTCACTGGAACAGGTTGCCTCCCTTCATACACTGGGCAGCAAGAGTAAGCAACTCAGCCCCTTTAGTCTGCTCTGCTAGTCAATAAGACCAAAGCTGATCTGATTGCAAACTCCAATCCACATTCCTGTCCTTCACCTGATTACTTTTCAGCCGCTTGCTTACCAAGAAACTATCACCTCAGTGTCCCAGAGTACTGTATGATTCAGTGGATTATCCTGAAATTGGAATGTCAAAAACCCAACATTTCAAATCATTTTGACAAATAGCAGTTGATTTCAGAGTTTCATACTCAATTAAAATTCTAAAAGTCCAACCGTTGTTACTTTGGTTAATGGTTACCCTCCAATGGAAATATAAGAAAGCGTCACCAGTTAAAACACAGAGGAGTTTATTTCTCCAGTGAAACATGTCAAGTGATGAAAAGTGGATGTGAAAGCATTTTGCACACAGAACTAATTGGTATTTACATAACACAGTAGATGGCCTTACAATTCATCTTTAAGTGTGACAGCTCTGTCTCTGGGGATTCCTTGCACTTGTTATGTAATGGGGATAATTTATATCCAGTCTCTCCATGTTCTTGTCACCGTGGTGTCGCATGTTTCCAGTGAAGGTGTATTCAGATCTTCATTAGTACAAGCCTGTATTCTTCTCTCTGAGAGTACACCTCTGTTCAGTCCACATTCAAATGTTTTCCCAAAGGAGGTTTACCTGTTAGGCTGGTCCAGGGTCCAACATCCCATCAGTCAGGATAAGCCAGAACTAGAAGCAATTTCCAAGAGAAAATATTGCGAAAGTTAGTTTGGAATAAGCCTGATTGCTGTTAAAGAAATATTCCATTAAAATTAGCGTAATTTATACTCGTGTAAGCTCTCAGTGCATGATTATATTGACTTCACAAGGTTGGCATTGATTGAATTCTGTTCTATAAGTGTTCTATAACATTTCCCTTCACTTCTTATATTTTAAGGTGCTACAGTAATTAAGCAAAATGGTGATAGTATGAACTGGTGGAGTTCAGGTAGAAAAACAATCAAGATCTGATAAAACATTGGAGCAAGTTAGAGGGGCTGAATGGCATACTCCATCACCTGTAATATATTTGCATTCCAGTTAATAATTAATGGTAATAAAAACCGAAAGAACTGCGGATGCTGTAAATCAGAAACAAGTTCAGTAGGTCTGGCAGCATCTGTGAAGGAAATAACAGAGTTAACGTTTCAGGGTCCAGTGACCCTTCCTCAGAATGGGATAAATGGTGGTTAATTGCGCAAAGTGAATAACTTATTTTCAAATCTAATCCAGAATTTGTTGAGGTCTGAAGTTTGATAAAAAGCAATGAAGTTGGACAGCCTAACTGGCACTGACCTAGACACCAGAAACAACGACAGCAGAAATAGGCCCTCCAACCCTGCCAAGTCCTTACTAACTTCAGGGGCTAGTGCTAACATTGGAGAGCTGTCTCACAGACTAGTCAAGGAGCAGCCTGACTTAATCACATCTACACAATCATACCTAACAGACAATGTTCCAGACCCCACCATCACCATCCCTGGATATGTCCTGTATGACCAGCAGAACAGACCCAG